TCGCCCACATGAAAGGGGTAGAATAAGTGTCTGGTTGAATTGCCCGTGTGGGAAAGGAGACACATATGTCGAAGGTATGCCCTGGGGAACGGCAGCCGGTTCCACCCCAGTGGCCAATCCATGCTTGTGGTGAAACGATGTCTTCTCACGTTTGGTTTATCCTGTTGCGTTGACACTTGATTCTTTTTTCTACATTTTTTTTTTTGATGGCGTCGCGCGCCAAGCGGGAGCACTGACCATTTGGCTATGTTTTTTAATCCTATTAATAGGTTGCCTTTGTGATGGTGTATTGGTCCTTCTACTTCCTGTTTTTTTCTCCTTTTTGCGAAGGTGTTTGTGTGGGCCAATTGTTTCTCCTTCGTTGTTTTCTTGGGGTAGTGGCTCTTGTGACCGCAGAAGTTTTCCGCAGCAGCCGAATCGGCTGTTTTTGATGTGAAGATAAAAAACATCAACAACAACACATATGGCGCACACGCGGTTTCCTCTGCAATATTTTTGTTTTTTTATTGAAGAGCTTTAAGGTCATCGCCGACGACAGAGACCTCATTGATGTAGTACATTGCTGAGTCCCTTTCTGCGGGATATCCGTGTGCACGAAGCTACAAAAAGCTGGTTCATTGGTGAACGGTGAACGAATGACTTCCACGTCTCTTTCACCTTTCACCGGCACTCGAAATGGGAAGAGAAGAAACAAATACAATCGTAGCTCAGGGGGCATCAACATCACCCATCTCCCTTATGCACTCACGTTACTGTCTGAGAGTTGGAAGTTTCATAGTCCTTCTCCTCTCTGCTACGGCCCCCCACCCCTGTGTCGAAGAAACGCCGCTACGACAATACCGGTCCTTACCGTCCCCCGATTTCTCCGCTGAATCTACTCTGATCCCAGGCGCGATGGCGCGCAACATTGACTGCAACCTAAGCTTGTCGAAATTTGCACCGCTTGATCTATTTCAGTCTTCGCATGTCTTTGTTGCAAATGAATGTCTGCAGTTGATCCTCGTGGGCCTTCCTCCGGCTCCCCGTGAATTGGGCTGCCCGATCCGAGGTGGGAGGCTTGTCGATCCCCTCTCCCAAGATCTTGAGGAGGAAAGCCCATAGTGCCAGGATTATCTTCGCCACATAGTCTACCTTGTTCAACTTGACTACTAACGGCTGCAACAATGCCCTAAACCCCTCACACATCCCCAGCGTGTCTTCGACAACGGACGAGAATACGGCTGGCCCGGTCGGAAGGCTGTAAATCCCTCCCTTTACCACTTCCGCGTAGACCTGCAAGCCAGGACGAACAGGATAAAATAGAGACAGCTCGTCAACAGAGACGGCTCGTCAAACGGAAGTCGAACCGCCATACAGTTTCGTCCACTGGTGCTCTTCACACGCAGTTCATGCCCAGGCGTGCCAACTGTGTATAATGCCGTTGGGTTCAAGGTGTGGCTGCCTTGGCCGCCTTAAGAAAAGGCGGGTGAGGTAACCCCCCCTCGACATCCGTAGTACTGGCTGTGAACCCGTTGGTTTAACTGGAGGTTCATGGATCAGATTATGAATTTTCGCCAGGAGCAAGTTTGCATGCAAGGGGACCCCATATCCAAACCTTACCTTGGGACTTGTTGTGTCTTCTTTGATCTCTGACGCATCAGGTCGGGCCTGTTCTTGGCTTGTCCTTACGACGTCGACTTCGTCCACTACCTCCTCGATCTCTTCTGCCCCTGAATCATAATCGATATTCCTGAACCCCGTGATGGTGATGACATAACACCAGACGTAGCATGGAGGAGGGGGGCGGGATAATGGTGGAACTCACGTTGCTCAGAACCCAGCGGAGTCGGCGATATCGCCATGTGAATATCCGGAGTTAGGGAATTACAAGTGACTTATCGGCATTCCCTTGTACAGTGAGGGCACGCACGTGAGACCCTCGAATTTCGGCCAAGGTTGGGGTTCTCATTTAGTTCTTACGGTTAGGCTGCGATGGGCGCTATATACCAGACTCTAATGGAGAGGTTCTTAACCGGGCTCCCAAATGGTGCTCAAAGTATTATGCTTCGATGAATGTTGAGCATAAAAGTTCCTTCGATAGACGTAGGCAGCCAAAGGTGGTATGGGTTGTACAGGGGTGGCTCCTTGGCCAGTCAGAGGTTGCTCAGGAGTTGTGCAGCCGACCGACACAAGGGACGATAAGAAAAAAGAGACGATACTCACGCCAAGTTCAATCTCTTACCTCTGCTGTGCTTCGGAGGGAGCCGCCTCTCGTCGTCACTTGGTGAAGGCCTCTCACCGTCACGGCAACATTGAAGGGTCTGTCCATCACCGCTACTGTCAGAACCCTGGGCCAACAAAGTACGAGGTCGATTACATGTAGCAACACCCGATTACAGATTTGTACTCGGCAAAAAAGTTCGGTGAGGTTGGCTGGGGTGTTATCGCCAAAATACACGTCAACTGTGCGTTGTGTTGAGCTTGGAAAAGTCACATCGCAGCTGGCATCCAGTTGTGGGTTGGTCCTGCTTCTCGCTATTTTCGTCTTGCATCACCCATTCATGAAACTACCGCTGTGCTCTCATGAGCCCACTCCCGAGGGATGACTTGTTTAAGAGTGTTTTTTGTGGACTACTGCGACATGCGCGATGTAGCATACCCACCCATACGTGCTGCAGGATACTGTCCTTTCGTCGTACGGCGGCTCAGCCCATCAAGACGGAGACCATCCAACTCAACAGCAGCCGCGCTCGTTCGTCGTCATCCTGAGGCACAAGCTGCGACGATAGGCGGTTTGGGTTCACTGTCTAACATCTGAGCATCCGCGCAGAGGACGGAATATGCATGCAAGTTGTACAAGATCAACGAATGGGCTTGCCCGACGAAGGTACAAAGAGGGAAAATTGACAGAGGCGTCCGGAAATCCCAAAGAAGGGACCTTGTGCGTCTCATCTACGGCTGGACACAAAAAGTCAGTACTCTACGCACCAAAATTGCTCACGCAAACATGTTGTACTAGTCTATGGCATGAAGTATTCAACCCGTGCTTTCGGGCCAAAAAGTAGGGCTACATGAAGACAATAAAGCTCAATCTGATCGCAAGCCGTGGCCAATTACGGTATGTCAGGGTTGGGCATACATTGTCGCAGAAATACTTGGGATATATCTCGAACGGGTAGTCCCTCGGTGTGTGTACTTACACGTTTCCCTATTGTTAGATACAGCATGTACATGTGCCATTCGTGGGGGATCAATTCAGCAATCTGACCGGGATCAACCCCCCTTGCTGAAGGCACCCATGCAAAATAGGATCGTTTTACGTTTCGGATAGAGGTATCTTTTGCATATAAAAATATCTAAGAGGACAGAAAGAGGCAGAGAGGCACGCACGTTGGTGGCTCTCGCTTGGGCTGTACATACTGCAGCAGTTAGATGTATCGCAAGAGTATCTGGTCGTGATGATCCCAAGGGGATGAGTGTTGGGAATTTCATATGTTGTAGGGTACCACGGGTGTTGTCAAGGGGACCCTGTTGGCGCGGTTGGTACGATGAGGCTTGCGTGCGTGCTGAGCACTTCTTCCTTCTCTCCCTCCACCGCCACCGCCGTCTCTCTCCAATCAAGTTTCCTTCTCCCACTCTCTCTCCACCTCTCTCTCTCGGCCTAACACGGCCCACTACCCAGTGCCCCAAGTAACGCCCAGGACGTGCTTGCTGCACCCCGTGTAGTTTACCTTTTACACTAGTGCGATATCACGGTATCTGCGTGCGGGAGTAGCCTTCCGCGGGTTGTGCACTCACGCGCAATCGGTAGACTCCCACAACAACATACACCATGGAGGGCATCGACCTCTCCGCCCTTAGCGGGGAAGAGCTACAACAATAAGTGGAGGAGATTGTCCAGCAACGAGTACAGGCCGAACTCGAAGCCAACAGGATCAACGAGGGTGAAGTCACTACGCCCAACCACTAGCCGGCAACCCAGTCCCACCTACCGGCAACCAGCCATTACCCTCCGGTCAGAGCAAACCAGCCACCTTCACCGACCCCAGCAGCGTCGCACACATCGTGGCGCAAGCGATTAAGGCGACAGCTGAGGCCATTCGCTGAACAACAGGGCTTTGCCCGCTCAGGCACGTTACGTGTCAATCCTGGCTCAGAATAGAACCTTGGCTTGGTAGCGTAAAGAAGGAAAAGGACTTGAACATTATGTTCGATATTTTTCGTGGTAAGATGATTTCATATTTTCAGGAGGAGGGTGTGCATGTTGCGTTGGAACGGGAGGTCGAGGTCAAGGTCGGAAAGAGGGGTGTGAATGTAGTAGAGCTTCGGAGACTTTTTGGCAATGATGTGGTAGACAAGTCTTTCAAACTATGGAATATTCTCATCAGCAAGGTCTCACCCCCCGATTCAGAGCTTGATTCTGGCGTGTGAGTCCACAAAAAGGCTGGAAAATCGTGACAGAATTCTATCAGAAGAAGCAATCAGAAAAGTCGAGGTTGGAGCAGGACTGGAAGGAATTGGAGGTGAAAGAGTCCGAGAGTCCACAGGACTATCTTGCCCGCTCAGAAGCCCTTCGCCTGCGTCTAGCATCTGTAGGCACGATTAAGGATGAAACAGATGCCAACAAAGACATTGCTCGTGGCCTTCCCTCTTCGTTGTATGCCGTGCAAAAAGGAATCTACTTGCCCATGATGTCCTGACGTTTCGTGCCCTTGAGACTGTGGTAAGGGACGCCCACGTGGAGATGGAGCGCGAGAGAAGCAAGGGGGAGAGGTGCGTGGTGGAGCTCGCTCTCGCCACGTCCGGCATGGGCCGGCGCGGCGGGGGCAGTCGGGGGGCATCCGGGGGTTAAGACGGCGGTCACGTAGCAGCTGGCGGCCAAGATCGAGACGGCGAGAAGAAAGGGTGACGTGTTCAACGACGACCCCGGCGGATTTTGCCGCTACCACCAGTCCGAGCTTCACACCAACGAGCAGTGTCGTTTCCAGCAGCAACTGCGGCGCGCGCGTTCGAGAGAGGGCGCCGAGGAACGCCGCTCGGGCGGCGGCAGCCGCGGTGGCGGGCGATGGGTGAGGATTGAAGGGCAGCAGCACCACACCGGTCATGGTGGCGGTGGCTGGAGCCAAGCCTCACCCCCCCCCGAGACCTCTTCGTGGACGTGGGCCTGGTGGTCGTCTGGGGCGTCACCCGGGGGAATCGTGGGCCCGCGGGACGCCACACCAGCGACGGTCGTGCCGAGAGAGAGAGCGGGCAGGGAGAGGCCCGGGGCACGCGCGTTCTGGCCACGGAAGAGAGCAGGCGTACGTTGTGTACTACGCCCACAATGATGGTGGCTACAACGAAGACTACGGCGACTACGATGACGGCTACTACTACTACGACGGCTACTACTACGACGACGGCTACCACGACGCCGGGTACGCTCACTACGCCGGCGGTGTGTGGACAGCTACAACTACTCCTCAGGGTACGAAGACAGCCGTTCATCTGACGGCGGCATCCACTTCGTCTACTACCCTCCCGTTACCAAGACTCGTTATCCGAGCAGCCACGCCAGCCCCCCCCCCGCGAGCAGCAGCAGCACCGCTTCCTCCTTGTCCTCTTCTCCTCCTCCTGGCGCGCCTCCATCTTCGAGCTACCTCCACCTCTGCAAGGCACAATCGGTGCCCCTAGGCAAGTCTCACCCCGAAGATTGTTTTGGTAGGATAGGAGTGACGACTGGAGTAGAGTCTGCTGCGTCTGCTTCGTCCTTGCTGAGTGTGGAATCTAGTGGCGGACCGCCTGGTAGCGAGAGATGGGTAGCTGAATCAGGAGCCAGCAACACATTTACCAACAGCAGCCTGCACATGTACGATCTGCAAGAGATCCCCGCCAGTAGGAAGTATGTCGTTGTAGTTGATGGTCGATTGCTCGAAGTGCAAGCCATCGGTAGCATCAATCTTAGTTTCTTTCAGGAGGATGAGAATGGTGAAAAAACGATGATGTGTGTGAAGCTCACCGACGTGTCTGTAGTAGAGAGCCTGAGCTTCAACTTGTTTTCAACGAATGCTGTTTCTCTGAAGCAATAAATCCTGCACGACGAGCGTGGTGCAACTCTACAAAATGGACTGCTCTTTGCTAGAGAGGTAAAAGCGTCTGCAGCGTATGCCATGCGGTTGCCGTACGACCCATCTGCGACTATAGTAGACTCTGCTGCGTTGCCCGCATTTGTGACTGCCCCCGATTCCGCCCCCGCCGTTGACTCCGCGCGTTCCCCTTCTCAAGAAGGAGGCTCCGCGGAATCATCGGTGTCCGTGTTGCGTGTTCCTCCCGCTGGCTCTGCTAGCGTAGTCCCTTCGGCTGATAGCGTCCCGCCCGCCGGCTCTGCCGACGTAGTACCTTCCTCGGCGTCCGAGTTTGTGTGTGTGGGTANTGTCCGTATTGCGTGTTCCTTCCGCAGGCTCTGCTACCGTAGTACCTTCGAGTGAGAGCGTCCCGCCCACTGGTCCAACCAGTGTAGTACCTGCGAGTGAGAGCGTCCCGCCCGCCGGCTATGCCGACGTAGTACCTTCTTCGGCTTCCGGTTTTGAGTGTGTGGGTACTTTCCCGGGTATGCATCTTGGAGATAAGAGTGTGCTCACCGACGAGCAGCTCATGGATGGCTATGATGACACCCCACATCAAGATTTTTTCCCCGTATTTATCCCAGAGAGTGACGCTGCGAATGTGGCTGGTGTTTTGGATAGCATTGACGGAGGTTCTGATTTTGACTTGGGTGCGGCCGCGCTTGGCCCTGGTGCGTCCCCGTTCACTCTTGGATCGACCGAAAAGTCCGTTGACATCAACCGCTTCCACCGCTCCCTTGCCCACGCTTGCGAGCCTCTTTTGAGAGAAACTGCCCAGCAGAGAGGCATCGTGCTCACCGGCAAGCTGGAACCGTGCACGGACTGCATGAAGGCGAAGGGCAGGCGAGCGTCGGTGCCGCGGGGGCCGGGAGCGAGGGCGTCCAAGCCTCTCGGGCGTGTTCACCTGGACCTGTGTGGACCGCTGGTGCCTTCCCTGGGCGGCAACCTCTACCTGTTCGTCGCCGTGGACAGCGCCTCGCGGTGGAACAAGGTCTCCAGTCTCCGGCGGAAGTCCGACGCACTGGCGGCAACGAAGAGGCTGCTGGCGGACGTGGGGCGGTACGACCTCGGGTGCATCGAGTTTTTCCGCGTCGATACCGGCACCGAGTGGACCCGCGGCGACTTCCGGCGCTGCGACGACAACGTCATCGGCGTCGAGTTCACCCCGCCTGGCGTCCCGCAGTACAACGGCGTCGTCGAGAGCGCCATCTGGTGCATCATGACGGCCCGCATGGCCGCCCGCCCGCTGGCCGTGTGTTCAACGTCGACGTCCCCTCCATCCCCGGCCTGGAAGAGCGCGGTGACCGTCTTTGGATGGAATCGGCGAAATGGGCCGCTGACGCTCTCAACCAGTCGGCGACCAAGGCCAACCCCGGGCGGCGCTCGCCGCACGAGATGTTCACCGGCGAGCAGGGGCCGTTCCGCGTGCTTCCGTTCTTCCAGCCCAGCTTCAAGCATGAGGATTGCCGCACCAAGCTCGACGACCAGGCCACCCTCTGCTACTACCTGAACGGCGGCGACAACCACCCGAGCGGCATCGTCAAGGTCCTCAAGGCGTCCACCGGCCGCGTCGTCTGCACCAACAACGTGTCGTGNTCGCCGCACGAGATGTTCACCGGCGAGCAGGGGCCGTTCCGCGTGCTTCCGTTCTTCCAGCCCAGCTTCAAGCATGAGGATTGCCGCACCAAGCTCGACGACCAGGCCACCCTCTGCTACTACCTGAACGGCGGCGACAACCACCCGAGCGGCATCGTCAAGGTCCTCAAGGCGTCCACCGGCC